TCTCAGTCAGTTGCACAGTCTTACAATAACAGTTCAACATATTTCAAGCGTGAAAGGCGAGTGAAGATCAAGGGGCGACACTCAGCAAATGTTCAGATTCGGGAGTGGATTTCACAATTCAGAAACAACGCAGAGTCCCACATGTGCTGCATCCAAACCACTTCTAAACTACAGCACGGTACTGCATTCTTTTGTTTTGTTATAGAACTGGACTAAGTACTGGACGAAGAGTGAGAATAGGACCACGATGTACACACCCTGACTAAGCTACTTTCATATCACAGATTTCATAGATCAGAACCCATGAAATAGGATCCTAACATTTACTCACATTCAAACAATATTTTCCTAAGATTATCCCTTTTTCTGGTTTTCCTGTGATGAAAATCCACCCAAACCATAACATTTAGACCCCTTTAATAAGGCATTTGTTAAGTTGAAGTCTTGCTGTGTTTCATATTGGTTTGAGTGACTGCTGCTGCTATTGTTAGGGTTGCTTTGTAGCCTAAAGAGGGCTGTGATGTTGGGAGCTTTAATGTTGGCTTTGTCTGTTAGGCCTTTGATTTAAGAGCGTTTGCTGCTGGAATTTTGTTATGTGTTCAGACCACAACCTTCATATAAATACATTCTTTAACTTCAAAGGAGTGTATCAAACAAATGTAATGTTGTCCTGGTTTATTTAATTTAAGTACAGTTTTTATTCTCTGTTGATGTATTTTGGGCTGCTCCTCCCTCTCTCCTCTAATGCAGCAATGTATTCTTGTTCTCATTCATATAGTACCAACAAAACCCTCTTTTGTGCAATGCTGTGATTTTGTACAACATTTATTCAGCGAAGGGCACACACTGGCATTATGTTAAAGGTGCATTGTGTATCTTTACTGGTAGAGGGTCTGTCAAATGCTTTTCTTCATGGACATCTTATTGCTTTGTCTGAAATGCTTCACAGTATGGTATTAAACCTTTTCTATTTTCATGAAGACCAGACCAAGTTACAGGTCAGATCTGTGGAGAGGGGACCCCACTCGCAGTCAGAATACTGTTTTTCTAGGTATTTTGGAGCTATAAAACCACCTGTAATTGAATAAATTAGGGTGATCTGCTTAATGTCATACTATGGAACACATAGAAACAAGAAGGTGACCGACCCCAACCGAAAAGTTACACAGTGTACCTTTAATATTGTTTGTTAAAAGTAGGGATGCACTGATCCATCTTTTTTAGTTCCTATACTGATTTCAGTACAATAGCTTGACTGAAAACAGCATTTAATTTCCTTTAAACAAACATAAAATAAAACAAAACTGATCCAAATGTGTTATGTAACTGTTATTTATAACACAAGTAACTACAGAACAACTTTGTATAAATAAAACTTCAGACATTATGAGACATTCTGAGCAGACTACGGCCAGTAAAAGACTTCACAACATTTTATAGGTCAATAATATTTAACACAGATGGGGGCAGCTAAAATTAATATTGTTAAAATACAGATTTTTTGTTGCAATACAGTGAGTTCTTGGGCCTAATCGCTAATAGAAATGATCAGGTTCAACATTTGTTAATTTACCTTTTGGATATTTCATCACAAAGCATCGGCTGAACTGATATTTGGAAGTAGATATCAATTCCAGCAAATTTGTTCAGTATTATATCGGTGCATTCCTAGTTAAAGGTGGTGAATTGTGGTTGAAATTCTTATGGTTTGAATGAATGAACACATCAATGAACAGGATTTTCCTTCTTTTAGGTAAATGAATAGGAATGGTGAATCATAGTTCTGCTGAAATGACATCACTTCTCGTTACGTTTTTAGCTTTCGGTCAAATTTGAAACCAAACCACAAAACCAGCGAAATAGTTGACTGTATTAGCATTGTAATTACTCACACATAACTTTCACAACACACACACACACGCTGGTTGAAGCCTGTGAGCAGTAAGCTACATTAACCAGCTAGTCTAAACAACAGTTAGGGTCAACAGCCTGTAACATCAATCTCTAAAACCAAAATATCATCCCTAAAAGAGTGCGGACGAGGCTGGCGCGCTGTGTAAGAGATATACGAGTGCTTGCAGTGCTGTCTCCATGCTTCTTCCTTTTGGCAGTGCACAGGGCATTCCTTTTCTGGTGAGTCACTCTCTCCCTCTGCTTATTCTGATGTATGGTGCGTTTACATTGGTAAGCTTTCCGCACTCTTCATTTTCGGAGCGTAGATTTGTTCTTGTCAAAACTATCTGACACGGACTGTGATAATAACACCAAATGCTGTCGTCTCTACGTTGCTGCCTGCCTTCTGAAATGTAAGACAGCAGCTCCATGTTGAACCCCCCATACACCAGCGCACACTTAGCTCTGGCCGTTTATGTCTAGACTTCCGAGTCCTTGCGGATGTCCTGTCACTCCTTGGCTATATATAGGAGACCTGTCCTCCGGTGTCTGCCCTCGCTACGGATACAACACCAGCCTCAAGTGCTCCAGTGTGTTCTGTGGTCAGAGGAAAAGGTAGTCACCATGTTATGTGCCACTTCCTTTGGTCCTCAAGTCGAGGGGTGGGGATATGCCAAAAATAATAATACTAGGATTTTTGAGAGCCTAGATCAAGACTTTCACAAGATTTCTA